CCCAGGGAAAGCATCAGGCTGGGATCTGAAGCCCCAGGAAGAAAGGACAACCAGCACCCCAAGCAGTTCAGCATAAAAGATACGGGGTACACTAGTGGTGGCATGACGGATTCCTAGCTAGCGTGAGCCTCGAGGGTTTAGGACATGTTTGGATGATGTGGTTATGCCACACACACGTGTCCTGCAGAGCACAGGGGCATACATGTGGCATGTATAATGGGCTTGTGCCATCTGCAGCACCTGCAGCCTTTCTCCAAAGTAAAGTGACATAGCTGCAGCCTGAGGGGCTTTGGCCTTCCAGGGAGGGGAGGAGGAGGCAGGAGCCTGGTGGGGGGGCAGCCCTCCCTGCAGACCTGGCTCAGGCTTCGCCTGGATGACAAGTCCTGCTTCCTCATCACGGGTCCCTTGGCGGCAATTGGCTGTTTGCTGTGGTCTCCTCCCCTGCCCTCCCACCAAGACACTGTGTTGCCTCTGTGGGTCCCAAGACCACTTCAATTGTGGGTAAAGCCAAGAATCTGTTGTGATCTTTCTAAAACTCACATCAGGGTGAAGCCAGACTTGTTTTGATAGCAGTTTGTTTGTTTTTTTTCAATTAACTGTGGCACTGGAGATTGAACCCAGGGCTTTCACATTGAGCTATGTCCCCAGCCCTGTTTTTATTTTTTGGACATAGTAGCTTTCTTCTTTTTTTTTCTTCCAGCACCAAGGATCAAACTCAGGACCTTTCACTTATGAGGCAGGTGTAGAGCCACTGAGCTAAATCCCCAGTACCCTTGTTTTTATTTTTTGAAGCTAAATTGCCCAGGCTGGGCTTGAACTTTCAATCCTCCTGCCTCAGCCTCTCAGACTGCTGGGATCACAGGCATGTGGCACCACACCTGGCCCAATCTCAGGTTCTTTTGGGGGTTTTTTTTGGTACCGGGGCTCAAACTCAGGACCTTGCACTTGTGAGGCAGGTGGCGGCATCACTGAGATAAATCCCTGGTCCAGTGTCAGGTTGAGTGTCTGTCATGCAATGAGGTAGACTCTTGAACAAGCCAGACAGCGATTCTGGGTTTCAGTTCCAGAACTACTGAATGCAGTGACCTCTCAGCTTCCACAACTGCAGCTCTGGGCTGGATGTGATAATCACTTGGTGTTCCGCTGTGTGTCTCATCCTCATTGGCCCATCCAAATCTGACTTTGCATAAAATTAGAAGTACTCCAGAAGTCCCTTCTGGGTCCTCCCCTTCCAACAGCTCCAATTTATTGGGTAATTACCCTCTTTTCTACCCTAATGATTCTCTCCAAATTTATGTTCTTTTTCTAAACTAATTTTAGTATTTGAATAAAAACCCAGTACATGGCTCAAGGCTGAAAACCTTTGATAAGGCATACTTTGGAATATGGGCCAGGTGTGGTGCACACCTATAATCCCAGCGCTTCAGAGCCTGAGGCTGGAGGCCAGCCTAAGGCTAGTGAGTTCAAGGCCAGCTGGAACTACATAGTGATACCCTGTCTCAAGAAAAGAAACAAACAAATGGAAAAAGAGAAAGAAAAATCATTTCTAGCTGAAGGCAGTGGCACACACCTGTAATCCCAGCTACTTGGGAGGCTAAGGCAGGAGGATTGTGAGTTCAGGGCAATCTTGGCCAATTTAGTGAGACTGTCTCAAAAAAACAAGTCACTTGGGGCTGGGGATTTAGCTCAGTGGTTTCGCTGCCTGCTGCGCAAGCGCAAGGACCTAAGTTTGATCCCCAGTACCAAAAAAACAAAAAAACCCAAGTCATTTATGGGCTGGGGATTTAGCTCAGTGGCGCCAAGCCTGGCTCACAAGTGCAAGGGCCTGAGCTCGATCCCTAGTACTGAAAAAAAAAAAGTCATTTCTATCCGTTTCCCTGCTCCATTCCTTCTCATAACAAATTTAGTTTATTACTTATCTTTCTAATGTTTCTTTTTGCAAAAGTAATCATATAGGTAAAATTTTTCATTACTTTTTTTTTTTTTTGGTACTGGGGATCAAACAGAACCCAGCCCCTCATTACTTTTTTTTTGAGACAGGCTGGCCTTGAATTCACTATATAGCTAGTGCCCTCTGGCCCTGCCCTCCCAGGATAAGGATGAGGTAGGCTAGAGTGCAGACACCTTGAGTTGGCCTGTGATCTCTGCAGGAGGGGCAGACTCAGGCTGGGCTGGTACATTAACCATGGCGTGGCCTCTTTAGTGCAAAACTGACTTAGCAGAAAGTGGGCAAGCTGGAAGAGGAGTGGGCAGCTGGCTGAGGAGCTTGATTTCAGAGGCAACAGATGTCCCCAAAATACCCACCTGCTACATGGCATCTCATTCTGTAAATCTACTCTACTCCTCGGGGCTTCTGCAGACTCATAAACATCTAAGCCTCTAGGACCATGTGTTACTACATGTTATGGTTTCATCGTGCCCCCAACTCCATGTTGTGGGTTCACTTGTTGACAGTATTTGAGGGCAGGAATTTGTAAGGAGGAAGAGAGCCCTGAACTCGAACACCTGCTGTCTCTGCCTGTGATGTCCTCTGCTGCATTGTGGTGCAGCAAGAAGGGCCTAGAAGATGCCAGTGCCACACTCCTGGACTTCTTAGCCTTCAGATCCATGACCTGGGCAAACTTCTTTATAAATTTCTTGGTCCCAGGTTTTTTTTCTCCCGTACCGGGGATCAAACTCAGGACCTTGCACTTGCCAGGCAGGCATGGTGCCACTGAGCTACATCCCCAGCCCTCAGGTATTTTGTTATACAACAGAAAACTAAAATACCATATATGAGGCACCAAACTAGACCCTGGGAGTAGTTTAAAGCACTTACACCCCCAGTCAGGCAGCTCCCTGAGCCTGGAATAATTCTGTGCCACTGCAAGTCTGTCGGCATCCCACTGTGCACCTGGGTGTCTCCCTGGCAGTATCCCTGGTGGTCAGGCAGGGACCCCCCATTAGCAGGATGCAGAAAAAGGCAGCTGGAGGGCAGAAGTCAGAAGAAGGGAAGGCTGTGTACATCCCCAGAGACACGGAAGGGCCGCTGGGCAAGTGTGCAGGGATGGGATTGTCTCTGTTTCTTGGTTTCTAGGCTGAGATGGTCTGGTTCCACTGGTTTCCTTATTGATGGCATGGAACCCATCCTCATCCCTACTCACTGTTTTTCATAGATTGTATTTGGCGCCAGTTCACAGGGAATGAGTCCTTCAGGTGCTGACTGCTGTGTCTCTTTGCAGGGAAGCTGTGATCCCAGGCAGACAGGAGGCCCATGGCATATAGCTGAGAAGTCCAGCCTAGGCGGTCCTTGGTCAAGGACTGTCACTGTGCCTCCCTCTCACCTTGGTGAGTGTGGCATCTGAACTTCCAGGCTCAAAATGAAGATGCCAGAAGAGGATGACAGAAACTTCCTCATCATTCGTCAGGTAGGCCCAGGGGATGGTGGCCTTTTCCTGAGGGCCTGGGTACTTCCCAGGAGGCTGGCAGGCTCCCAAGGGAGGGGATCATGTAGATGCAGTTTTAAGCAGAACCTTTAAAGGCCTTCTGGGAGAGCTACACAGCTGCCTGCAGATACCTGCAGGCCTGTGCTTGCCCCAGGTGGCTCCCTGGAATCCCGAGTGGTGGCATCAGCAGCCCACTACCCCTAGTCACAGGGTTGAAGCAGACCAAGAAGCTGACTTGTGTTCAATCATGAGGGCCCATGGATGGCATGAGTATCATCCATGCCTGTAAAGATCCAGGTTACGTTGGTATGCAGAACTACAGTGAAATAAAATTTAGAGAAAACAAAAGAACAGTAATCACACACTGATCAGAATGACACAAAGTCCTATTCAGGTTGGTCTTCCTGGCTGGTTATGGATTCAAAGAAACCAGTTTCTTCAGCTGTCTGGCTTCCCTAGGGTCTGGGTGGGGTGGGTATGCAGGTGAAACTTACCGAACTGAGCCAAATGAAGACCAGAAGAAAAATAGAGGGAATTTACAAGAATTAAAGAATTTAGTCCATTAGGTTCATTTAAGTCTTGCTTGTCTAGGGCTGGGGATTTAGCTTAGTGGTTTCACCACCTGCTGCACAAGCACAAGGACCTGAGTTTGATCCTTGGTACCAAAAAAAAAGAAAAGAAAAAAAGAAGTCTTGCTTGTCTTAATCTTCATACAGCTGCCCTTTTCTTTCAGGAATTGAAATTGCTGTGTCACTTGGTCATTCACAGTGTTGGCAGTGGTACCTAGAATCCCAAAATGTCAGGACCAGAGGGACCTTTGCCAATATCCAGTTCCCAGAGATTCCTGATCATTTTTTTGCCTCCTTTCTGAGGGCCCTCGGACCATCTGCTGAAACTCTCTGGGCTGTTAAGTATGGTCAGCAGCTTGCAAGGTTGTCATGGAGAACAGACACACTTTCTGCAATAGCCAGTGCCAAAAAGGTGCCCAATAAAGTTGGCTGCTTTAGCTCCTTGGCCTGTCACTCATCCTGGATACCTGGCTCAAATGCCTCAGTCTCTGGGCAATTTGCGGGCCATGGACCTCTGCTCTCAGGGCACTCCACTCTTGGGCCTGGAGCTGGGGGTCGCAGCTGGGATCACACTGTAAAGCATGGCTTGACCTCTTGCCTTCCTGGAGAGGCTGCACCCACAAAGGGCATGGAACCCAGGACAATGCAGGAAAGGCAGGAGAGCGGGTATCCTAGGCAGCCCTGTGTCGAGGGCTGCAAGCACACAGGCTGCAGAAGAGCCAGCAAATGGTGGCTCCTGGGGCCACTTGCATAGAGCACAGCTTGTCCCCACCGTCGATGTGCTGCCTGAGCCAGGTCAGCTAGGTCTATGCACATGCAGGAACACAGGCCTGCCCCTCACCCCTCAGCATGCCTGCCTGCCGCACAGCCAGTGCCAGCCAGCTCTGCCATTTAAGTACAGAGCAGCCCAGGTCCCTTAGGCACCAAGTGCCAGGTGGGGAGGAACAGGAGCAACACTTCGGGGATAGGGATCAAAGTGCACACATTTATTTTCTAGAACAAAGGCTAAAAGAAGCAAGTTTCTTTCATTTTATTTTAAGAAGGACAAAAATTGTTATTAAAACATCTACATTATTATCAAGATACTAGGCCTTATGATATTTAATATTAAAGTGTGGTATTCTTAAAAGTTTTAATACACAGACATTTTAAAAGGACCATTAAATTGATTACTGTCCAGCTGTGAAATGCAGCATCCTCCATCCCACCCCAGCCCAGCTCTACTGTGCCACCTTGTCCCTGCACGCTATGGGTGGGCACAGGCCCTAGATCCCACTCCGAGCCTCCCAGCCAGGGACCTAGAGAGGGGTCACATCTGACATAGTTAATCTCATCAATAACAGCGATTTCTTGTCCCCCCACTCTTACCACTTCCCTGCTGCCCACTCTCTTCCCTACCCCATGGGGATCTAGCTCTGGCCAGGCCAGGGAGCCCCAGATCCCAAGGGCCTGGGGAGTACCAGCCTCAAGATGAAAACTGCACTCTCATCCTGTTCCTTGGGGGACAGACAAACACAAATCATTTCCTTTCCCTGAGCCCTCTGGTTCTCTCTGGTAGACAGGGCTGGTCTGGAAAACCAGCAGGCAGCAGAGGGCCCAAGTCAACTCTGAGCCCAACTCCAGTCACTAACTCCTTGCAAACAGCCGATGACCCAAAATTCCCTTCTAGTCATTCGAGGATGGCTGCATATTCTGGCCAAATTCTTTATCCTTAGCCTTCATTAGAAGTGATTCCTTGGATACCACACACATATGTAATATTATATAGAGTGATATATTTAATACCTGTGTATATATGCATCACGGGGCGACATATATACACACTAAAAACAGGGCTGGTGAAGACAGACTGCGACAGCACAGATCAGGAGAACAAGTATCATCGACATTCCTGGCCACTGCCCTTCCTCGGCTATGATCACACCTCCCCTCAGCCACACCACCAGCACCCACACTCTGCAGTGCTGGCCCACTGTGGGCAGGGGCAGGGGCAGGGGCAGGGGCAGGGCTCGGGGGGCGGGGAAGAGGGAAGGGTGCATGCCACAATTATTGGGCCGAGGTTGGGCAGCAGCGGCATGAGGACAGGGTCCCCTCGGCCAGGGTGCCCATCATTACACCATCACGTGCACTATCGACCCTTGCTAGAGGAAAAATAGGGGATGTTTCACACTCTCCACGCCCCCCAGCCTTAGTCCCTGGCTCCTTCCGGGGTTGCCCCACTCCTTGTGCCAAATGGTGTGGGCATTCTGGAATGTCTGGGGAACCAGGGGAGGCTGGGCTGCCCACAGGGTGGGATGGAGGAGGTACACGCAGACACATCAGAAGAGGGGAGAGCTGGGGGTTAGCTGGGGTCCCAGGCAGCTGGCAGGGCTGGGGATTGAGGAAGGGCTGGGACAGTCAGGTAGAACAGTTGAGTATGTTTGGGTCCCTGGGAAAGGGATTATGTCCCATCTTAGAGTGGCTCATGAAGCCCAGGATGGAGCTTCCCTCTTCTCCACATCACGACCCCCTCCTTCCCCATGTAAGTGCGAAACCTGAGCTCATGGTTCCCCGCTCTCTCCACCTCTCCCTGAGCAGGTGTGGGGACCTAACTCTGCTGTTCCTCTGACAACCTTCCTCAGGAGGAGACTGTCCCTCAGGGATGCCGATATGACCAGCCCCCCTCCAAATGGCCCTCCTTCAGCCCCAGGGGCACTGTTTGGGGCCCCAGGCACACTGATTCCAGGGCTGTCCCAGCCCTTCTCCAGAGCCTGGCTGCTCCCTCCATAACTGGCCCCAAGTCTTCCAACCACTGTTCTTATCTGAGCTCTGCCTCCTACTGGGGGTCCGAGACCCTGGGCCAGAGCACTCCTCCTCTTAGGGCTCAGGCTGGGTCCACTCCAAAGGCTGAGGATGTACAGTCTACACTAGTGGCCTGTGAGGAAGGGGGGTAGGGGTGTTGGCGTCAGAGGCAGCATCCTTAGTCTTGCTCCAGCGATTATCCAGCCCTCCAATCTGATGATTCAACCAGAGGGAAAACTGAGGCCCAGGGTGTATGTGACCAGTGCAGTGTCCCCAGCTCCACCCTGAGGCTGCATTTTAAAGCTAATTGGGGCCTCCTGCCCTCTATTGTGTCCTGATCTGCCCCCAAAAGAGGGAGCGGGAAAGGGGAGAGGAGGAAAGGACCCTCCTGCTGCAGATTCAAGTGGGGACCCCAGGCTCCCCAGCCCTGAGCTTTGGGCCCCCTTTAGGAGCAGACAGAAGTTAAAGCTGTAGGCTGAGGCTGGAAGGGTCAGCCAGTCCCCTCCCTCCCCAACCAGGAGACCTGTGGGGGTGGTGGAGGGTCTCTCCAGGTGTCAGCAGGATGAGGACCCTGGGACTACGTGGGGCTGCGGCACGTGCACCAGGGATGCACACCTGGGTGGTGGGGGTGGAGAGGGTGGAAGGGACCCCAGGGGCTGGGGGTTGCCTGAGGAGGGCACCCCCCACCCCCAGCTGGCCGGCCCTGGCCCTTCCATCTTGCCTTCTGTCCCCACCCCAACCCCAACCCCAACCCCAGGATTTTGCCCACGGCCGAGACCTGGCCCCTACTCTGCAGTAGTGGTGGCGGCAGCAGTGGCAGCAGCAGTGGCAACAGCAGCAGCAGGAACTTCTGGGGTGGCACTAGCAGTGTCCCCATCTTCTTGCAGCAGGAAGTTGTATTTGCCAAAGTCGTCATCCCGAGGGCACAGAAGCATGTCCTTGCGGGCCTTGGCCAGCTTCTGCTTCAGCACCTCACGCCGGTCCAGCCACTCATTGAGCTCCTCCTGGCCGTGGGCGCAGCGGCACTTGTCCCCATCTGGGCAGGTCTTGCCTTTCTGGATCCTGTGGGCAGCAGGAGGCTTACTGCCTGTGCTCTAGGACCCGGAATGCCCACATGGCCTCCCTGAGACACTGAGGGACACCTGGATACCCTGGCCTTCTCTGGGGCTTGATCCAGGGCTACAAAGGAGGGTCTTGGCAGATCTGAGCCCACCCTCAATCCTGCCCTGCATGGCACCTGCACCCTGCCCTCCCCTAGCACCTGTCACAGAGCCGGAACTCGCCCATGGGGAAGCGGTAGGCCCAGCCACTGGCGTCACTGTCGGAGGTGAAGACCTTCTCCTTGTGCTTCTCGGACTGGATGTGCTGCTGCCACTGCTTCTTGCTGTTGCTGTTCTTGCCACAGAGCCAGCAGTGGTAGCCCATCTGGGGACACAGTGTCATGGGTTGCTAGTCCCTTAGGTTCAGGCTGGGCCCAGGTGCCAGGCATGGGGACTTACCATGATGTCAGCATAGTCTGTGGGCATCTGGATCTGCTTCTCCCCTTCCCTTGAGCTGATCGGGGTCCCTTCCCCGGGCTTCCCTGGGTTGTGTTTCTTCAGCCACATATCATAGGTCTGTTGCATGTCCAGGACTGGACAGGGGAGAGAGCACCTGGTGAGGGGGCTTCTCCTCTACCCTGCCCCAATTCCTGCTGGATGTGAGAGTCAGGGGACCCCAGGCCTGGATGCTAAGCTGCCTGGGCTCAGGCCTGGCCCACCAATAGGCAGCCTAAAGGGGCCTGGAGAAGTGGCAAGCTGGGGTGGAGAAAGGGACAGTGGGGGCTGTGGGCTGTCTAGCAGTGAGGAGATGGGGGAGGGCCTGCCACTCACTCTTGTTCTCCTTCATGAATGTCCACATGTCCCTCTCCTCAGGGCTGTGTGCAAAGGAGCAGTTCCCCACATATTGGCACTTGCGGCCATTCTGCGCGTGGATGCAGAGCTGGGGGGAGGCGTGGAGAGCCACTGAGTCCCACGGGCGGGACACAGGGAGCCTTCCACTGCCCCCGGCAGCCCGCCACCCCTTGTGCTCACATCGTATTGCTGTGGAAAGTTGCGGATGGATGGCAGTGGCCTCACTGACACCCATTTCCTCTTGGCCTTGGACATCACCAGAAGGACCCGCCGTTCCTTGGTCCAGCTACAGGAGAGAGGGGAGCTGCTTGGGGAGAGCTCCAGAGGTAGCCCTGTGCTGAATCTTGGCCTTTACACCTATGGTGCTCAGGGGGCCACCATCATGCCCAGGCCCCTGCCTGGCACCCACTCACCAGTGACGGGCCTTAGCACTGCAGTACTTGAGGTCCTTGTCGGGCTCTACCACCTGCCCATTCCTCCAGCACTGGCCACACACAAACTTCATCTGCAGGTCGAAGGTGCTGGGCCCATGAGTCCTTGGGGCACTCTGTAGGGGACAGGTTGGGGGCTGGAGAAGCTGCAGGGCCAAAGCCCTGGGTCTTTCACACACACACAGCCTCTGGGAGAGCTGGGGCCGCCCAGTCTTGGAGTGGATTGGTCTACTTCCTGGTTCTACCCACAGGCAGTGGCCTTCCCATGGCAGAGCCTGTGGCTTCTTAGTGTGGACTCCAGGCCTGGAATGGGACTCCAGACTCCTGCATGAGTGCTCTTCCTTTTCTGGCTGCTCCTTACTTCCCACTTCCCCTCATTCCTTCAGAGGCCTGCTCCATGGAACCACTGCATCTTCTAGGGCACAGCATGCTATGTCACAGCCCCATGCTTTATAGATGGAGTTCCTTCTGCCTGGAATGCCTTTCCCCCACTCTTTACCCAGCTTGTTCTAGAGACTGCATTTTTAAACGCAGCTCTAATGCACGCCCTGCAAGAAGCCCACCCTTAGCTAAGTCACGACTATTCCACAGCTCTCAGAGTTGCTGAGCTCCCTGGTGTTGACCAGCTCACTGGGTTACTAGTGCTGCTCCTGTACACAGCAGGCACCCAAAAGCTGGGGCGGGGAGTGTGGAGTCTGGTCACCCCAGCAGCCCTGGATCCTGGCCACGCCCCCAGAGCAATGTCCAGCTGTTTCTAAGGCCCTGCCCTCCATGCTGCTTCCCCAGCCTCTGCTCTGAGAGGTGGGGAAAGTGCCCGCCCTTCGACCTTGGCCACCCTTGCTCTGTGACTGCCTCCCCTTCACCCTCTCGGACCCTTAGGTGTGCGTTCACCCCTCTGGGCAGCCCTTGCTCCTTCAGGCTGGTGGGTCCCTATCCTCTGCCAGAGGAGCTCTCCAGGGACAGGAGCTGTGACCCACACCCGATGACCCAGCACTACCCAACCCAAGGCCTGCCCTGGAGAAGGAAGGAACTCTATCCTCACAGACGACTGACCCCTTGCCTGGCATCAGGCAACTTAGACCTAACTCAGCTCCAGGGTGCTGCACACACATCCCAGGGGCAAGGTCAACTGGGACAAGCCTGAAGGATAGAGGGGAGTTATCCCACTCCGTCACGACTTCCCCCAGGAGACGCTGAGGGGAAGGCATTGCTCCCATCTCACAGGGGACATGGTGGAGACCCGGGGGCATGGCAGCTCATCCCCATGTTCATGCTTCACAGCTCTCAGAGTGAGTAGAGATTGGCAGAGCAGGTACCAAGCCCACCACAGGGAAGCAGCATGAGGACAGGGGCCTGGTGTGAGGAAGGCACTCATGCTTCTGTGTGGGATGGCTCTGAGAGGCCACAGGCCCTGGGGGCAAGCAGGTTCTGCCCTGACACCCCTGACTTGGCCTCACCTTCCAGGTGACAAGAGCCTCACGTCTGGACCTGGCACAGATGCCCTGCTCCTAGTGTCTTGGGTGGACAGTGTGGGGCCCTGGTGGTGGGAGGGGGATGAAGTTACTCACAGTACCTTGGCCAGTGAGGCCTGCACCCCCTGGTGCATCCCTCATGTGCAGAGTGTGTGAGGCTGAACCTCACATACACTGTCCGCTAGTCCCTCAAACCGACTCTCTGAGCCAGTGACCCCACTGCCATCCACACAGCCCAGGGTGCTGTGAGCATTAGGGTGGGGCAGGGCTTGGTGTGCAGTAACACTGCAGCCTGGGTCAGCTCCTGCGGACCTCAAACCACCTGGAGGGGGCGGGGAGCAGGTTGTCAGGATGAGGAGCCTGAGGATGCTTGGGTGACAGGAACGGGGCAGGTGGAGAGGGAGTAGGGCAAGCTCTGCACCAGATGGCAGGGAACCTGGGTTTACCCCTGGGCAAGTCTCTAACAGGCTCCAGGCCTCGGTTTCCCCATCTGTAAATGCCACAATACCATGGCTCATAGAGGCAGGACCCTGGTGAAGATCAGGAGGGACAGGAGAGGACATAATCAGTGGGCTTCAGCTTGAGCTTACAAGATGTTCACATGGTCTCAAAGCGTTGTCCCAGGAGATATTTAATAATTACAGAAGGCAAAATATAACTTGATGGTAGAGAAACCTCTACAGTGAAGGTACCTTAATCAAGTTACCAGAGTTTAATCACAGCATCATCAGGAACAGGACAAATTGAAACAACTCGTCTGCCTCCTGTTGTGTGAGCCAGGGAACTCATGGCCTAGCCTCTGTGGACGGGGACACCACATGGTCCCACAGGGATGGACCTTTTACAAAACCACTGGCTCCTCAGAATATCAGCATCACAGAAGACAAAGACAGACTGAGGAACTGTTCTGGGTTAAAGGGGACTAAAGAGATACCAAAACTGACTGCAGTGGCTCTCCTGAATTTTGAGGAATAATAGTTTCATAGCAGTGGTACTTCCCTGATGTTACAATGTGTTATGGTTATACAAGAGGGTGTCTTTATTTTAAGATCTACACATGGAAGTGTTTAGGGGTAAGAGGATATCCTAGCTGCAACTAGTCAGAAAAATAGAGTGACAAAGACACACACATAAATCTTATTGGCTCCATCACACAGAGGATAAAGATTTGCGAGATAGCAAAGCAAGTGTGGGATGCAATACAATGTTAACTTCTGGGAAATCCAGCAAAGGGCCCACGTGAACTTTTCACAGGCATCTGACAACTTTCCCACATGAATGCACTAATGTCACAATAAAGGGACAGGGATGCCCTTACGGGGCAGATCCCCCTGGGCTTACCGAGCTGCTGCTGGCCTTTCCCGCGTGCGCTTCCATCTGCTGCCAGTACTTCTTGGATTCCTGAACGATGTCTTCGTGTGTCATGCCTGGGGAGAGCAGGGCAGACACAGGTGTCCCTCAAGGGGCTCAGCAAGGAGCCAGGCAGGGCATCCTCAGGGTGCCAGTGGCACGTAAGGCCCCAGCAGAGTCAGGCCTGGACACGGTGAGACTTAGGGTACAGCAGTACACTCACCCTCTCTGGCCTGTTTGTCCATCCTCACATGGGGATGAAGGCCTGCTCCCCTCTGTCTCTTGAGATCACTACTTAGCATCCTCCCGAGCCCCTGCCTCCCTTAGCAGGGCTCAGCACTGACCCTGCTTGGCAACAGCCAGCCTGCTGCTTTTTAGGGCTAAATGCCTGCCCTGGCTAGGGTCACCAGCTTACCAAGGTACCATGATCCTCACTGGTCCCCAAGGCACAAATGCTGCAGCCCAGAGGCTTGGACTCTACCCCGGATCCCCACGCAGCCTCAGACTGGCTTGGCACCTCTTTTTTTTTTTTTGGTACCGGGGATCAAACTCAGGTCCTTGCACTTGCAAGGCAGGCAGCAGAACCACTGAGCTAAATCCCAGTCCACTTGGCACCTTTTCATGAAGCCTCCCCTCCTCCTAAGTTCTCCGATCTTTCTAGTGCCTTCCCATGATTTGCCATACACTTACTCCATGGTACCACTGCACCTGCATTCTTGCCGATGACCCCCAAATGTGTATCTACAACCCAGACTTGCAGCCTCCCCCTCTGGCTGCCTGCTCAATTCTCCACCTGAAACTGACACAGAGCCCTAACCCCCGATCCTGCTCCTCCTGCAGCCTTCCTCTTCCCAGGCCATGGATACTCATTCTTCCAGGTACTCTAACCTTAGAGGTAACCTTGACACTGTCCTTTCATATTTCACATCACGACAAATCTTGTTGGCTCCATCACGAAAATACATCACAATCTGGCCACATCTGCCACCTGCATTGCCACTACCCTGGCCTGAGCCACATCCTCCCCAGTATCTCCACTCTGTCCTTGTCCCTCTACTCTCTAGCCAGCACTCAGAATGACACTGATCAGAACCTACAACTCCACCCGCTTAAAAACCTCTAGACAGGGCCGGGGATTTAGCTCAGTGGTGCCGCTGCCTGCTTCAAAAGCACAAGGTCCCAAGTTCAATCCCAGGTACCAAAAAAACACAAAAAACCCTCTAGACAAAGGTTAGGGATGGGGCTGGGGGATTTAGCTCAGTGGTTCCAGCGCCTGCCTTGCAAGCACAAGGTTCCGAGTTCCATCTCTGGTAGGAAAAAAACCCAAACAAACCAAACAAAGGTTAGGGATGTAGCTCAGCGGCACAGCACCTGCCTGGCAAGGTCAAGGCCCTAAGTTCGATTCCCAGTACCAAAAGAAAAAGAAAAAAAAAAAAATCGCCCGACAAGCTTGGTATGGTGGTGCACACTTGTAATCCTAGAACTTTGAGAGCCTGAGGCAGGAGGATCGCAAGTTCAAACCCAGCTTAGGCAACTTGGGCTGAGGACGCAGTTCTGGGTTCAATCTCCAGTACCACGGAAACAAAAACAAAATCTCTAGACATCATATTTAGACCATTGCAGACACACACTGATTAAGACTGGGACTGTGCTTGGAGAAACCTGTGGTTTTGTCTTTCTGCAAGCATCAGAATATAGGTAACCAGACCCAGACACCGTAGGGAATCACTCTACAGCCTCTTGGTGCAATAAACAGGAGCTGCAGGAGGCTGCTGGCTGGGTCACATGGCAGACTGTTTTGGTCAACTTTTTTTTTTTTTTTGGGTGCCGGGGATCGAACTCGGGTCCTTGCGCTTGTGCAGCAGGCAGTGAAACCACTGAGCTAAATCCCCGGCCCCAAGTATCTGGCTCTCCTTATTTTTTATTTCTTTTTATTTGGTACCAAGGATCAAACTCAGGACCTTGCACTTGCGAGGCAGGGGCTGGAACCACTGAGCTAAATCCCCAGCCCCTGGTCAACTTTTTTTTTTAACACTAGGAGTAACACTACAACAATAAAAAGATAGTAGAGTAATATATAAACCTGCAGCATACTTTATTGTCATTATCAAGTACTGTGTACTGTACCTAAGTATGTGTGCCATCCTTTACGACTGGCAGTACAGTAAAGTCTGTTTGCCCCAGTGTCACCAAAAACATGTGAGCAGTGCATGGCACCACGATGTCATAACACCTATGACATCATTAGGTTATTGCAACATTTCAGCTTCATTATAATCTTGCAGAACCAATTTCATATACTCAGTCAGTTGATGACTAAAATGTCACTATGCAAGGATAACTATATTTTTCTTTCTTTCCTTTTGGTACCGGGGATTGAACTCAGGACCTTGTGCTTGCGAGGCAGGCTCGGTGCCACCGAGCTAAATCCCCAGCCCTCTTTTTTGGAGACAAGGTCTCACTGTGTAGCTCAGGCCGGCCTTGAATTCACTATGTCACCCAGACCAGTTTCAAATCCCCGTGCCGCAGCCTCCTGAGTGGTAGATTTCAGGTGTGTGTCATCACACTCAGCTACATGACTATGTTTCTATTTAGGCCAAGGCCCTGCTGGCCCTGGGCCTTATGTCTCCCTGGCCTGTTCACTGCTCTACACCCACGGACAGCCTACTTCCTGTTCACCCGGCATGGGCCCCACTCCCTGTCCTTCAGGGAAGACTTCTCCCACCACTTGACAGAAAATGACCCGTGTCCCTCTCCTAACCTCTGCTTTACTTCAGAGCACTGAATCTGTCACTGCTGACTCAAAGAGGATATCGTCAGATGGGGAATATTTTATGTGCCCCTCCACTGCTGCTAATTAGATTATGGCCCCAGAGGGAGAGCTGTTCATCCCAGGTCGGATGGACACAGGATGCCCTTCCCCACTTGTCCAGTACCCAGCACAGATGTAAGTTCTCCAGAGCAAGGCCCTTGACTAATTCGAGGGTGAACCTCTGACAGGAGTTGGTGGTAAAGCCCTGTGGGTGGGAAGCAAGTAGCACTGGGTCATCTGTGAGCAGAGGGTGGCTCAGGAAGGAGCAGCGTCTTGGTGATGGCACCCAGGCAGCAAAGGGAGGAGCCGAAGGGGAGAAACCTGGGACTCTGCAGGCTTGGCAGAGCTCCATCCCCTCTGGATCTGCCTGTGCACCTGCCACCCACCCTGGGCCCCTCACCTGAGTGCTCACCTGAGTATTGCTGCAGCAGCCAGACCTTCAGCTCAATGAAGCTATGGGCAAAGTGGCAGCTGTCCTCCCGCAGGCAGCCATAGCGGACCTCGTGGCGGCACACGTCAAACTGGAAGTGCTCCTGGAACTGGCGGATCTTGGAGTACTTGAGGGAGGTGGAGCGGACGATGTGCACCAGGCACCTGGTGGGGGGCAGGGGAGGGTGTGATGCGGGCCACTGCCCTCCCAGCTGGCAAGCCTGAGGGCAGGCTCCTCCCTAGGCAGCCCCTGCCCTATGAACCCATCCCAGCATGATGAGGTGAGGCTCCTGTCCTCAGGCAGAACTGGGCTTGGCCCTAACTCTGCTGCAGTGTGCCCTGCTCAGGCTTCAGTCTGGAGCCAGATCAACCTGCAGATGCCAATGAGCAGAGGGCGCCAAACCCCTCCTGCCACAAGGGGAGAGGGCCATCTCCCTCAGGTCTCTGGCTTCATGATCCAAAGCTGGTCCTGTATCCAGAGGAACAACAATGGAGCACTTCCTCTTAGCAGGAACCCGTTTTGTCTTTTGAGGTACTGGGAATTGAACCCAGGGCCTTCATACCGAATTGCAATCCCAGCCCTTTATTTTATTGACTGATTGATGGCTAGGTTGTCTAGTTGACCTGAACTTGCTACCCTACCTCAGCCTCCCACAGTGCTGGGATTATAGCCATGTGCTACCACAGCCAACTGAGCCAGGAATCTTAATGACTCTCGTTGCAACTATAGATCAGGTCATCCCCAGACTAGAAGAGGAAACGTAAGATGTCAATGGCTAGTGCACTATCATAAACCTGGCCTCTGTGCAGGCTGGGATGTGGGCCTAGGTCTGCCTGGCTCCTGGACGGGGAGAGCCGAGGTGAGAAGACAGGGAGCAAAAGGGGGGATGCCAGGCTTGTCGCAGCCTCCTACTCCCTGCCTGATGTTGACATCAGGACAGTATCGGGAGCCAGGCAGGCATCAGAGATCTGGTCCTGCACTGCCTGCCGGATGAGCTGCTCCCAAGGGTCAGCCTTCTCTTCTGTCCAAGAGGGACAAGCGTTCCTCCCCAGAGGACCACTGAGGTTATTAAATGCTTGGAATGTAATAGGTGCCCAATAAACGTGGCTCCTGCCCTTGGCAGGTGAAGACTGCCCCTGGACCAGACTCCTTAGGTCTACTCTTTGGCCTCAGTTTTTCCCGTCCATCTGAGCCACCCCGGGGGAATCTCCAGCAGCCCTCAGTCTCCACTTACTTGTTATTGTAGAAGCTGTGCTTGGCAGCCAGGTTGGAGCAGACGGATGGAGAGTCCTTGGTGCCTTTGCTGATGATCCGGGGCTTACTGTCAAAGCAGATCTGCCCAGGAAGGGGAGGGGCTGGGACCCCGTAAGGACAGCCGGGGAGGGGGTGGGCTGGGACCCCACAGGGACACCTGGGAGGGGACAGCTGATTCCCCCTCTGGGTCAGGGGGGAGAGGAAGAGTCCCAGAGTCTATGTCCCTCACGTCTGTGGCTCTAGTTCACAGATGACCTGACTGTGGGTCCCTTCTCTTTCCTCCCTGTCTCAGATCCCACCACTCCCAATGCCTGGGGCAAGGAGTTCCTCCACGTCTCTGGGCCTCAGTTGCCTCAACTGTGAGCTGGGACAGTCATGCCTGCTTTGCTCCACAGGTTCACTGAGAAGATTAGAAAATTAAATAAAAAGGAACTACAGGTGCTTTATATTCTACATTCCGATGCCCAGCCATGATCTCCAGGCCTTTGTCCCCGAGGGAGCAGGCACTCATCCACCAGCACGAAAGTCAGGGAAGCAGGCTGTGCTGTGGATGGAGCAGGACTGAGCCAGTGATGCAGAGCCCAAGCCCTTGCTCCAGAGATGAATACAATGCTGCCCCTGCCCTCTGCCAAGCTGGGGTGCAATGGGGAAGCAGGGCAAGGTCACCCTTGAGGCCTAGCAGGGTCTCCTCAGTAGAGTTGCTGGAATCAGAGCTGAGCCTGGGAGTCTGAGGCTCAGCAACACAGCTCTCTGGGGAGGGCACAGCCAGGACATGGGCGGGAAGGGTAATCAACTCGGAAACTGTCGTGGCAAGCAAGGGCGTGGACACCTTGCTCAGCTCAGTTGAGCAGCGCCAACCACACCACACTGACAATGGGGGATTCAGGGCCACCCTGGGCAATTCCCTTTCTGCCCAGTCCTATGGGTCCTGGCTGTGAGGCCCACCAGTGGCAGCTGGCACTGGGATGTGGGCCTGGGCTCTAGGCTTGAGGCTCAGCTCTGATCTGGACTAGCTGTGTGCCCTTTGGCCAGTGCCTCATCTCCCTGGATCTCAGTGTCACTGTGTAAAGGGATGCTGCCGTGAGGTGGGGACAAAGATCCAAAGCCTGGCATGTGACCGGCTGCCAAGAAGGTACAGGTGGGAGGGCTATCATTTTCTGGACTGTTTCCACCTCTGCGGAGTTAGGTGCAGGATAGATCTTGGCTCTAGTAGACGGGCGCCTTCCTCAGGGCCTGCCTTTCTGACAGCCCAGGGATCTACTAGATCCACATCAGGCTCCCACGATGTCCTGTGGCAAGGGGCACCCCAGCCCTACACGCACCCTGGACCAAGGGGAAGGCGTCGGGGCGGGTGGGCGGCAGATACCTCACAGAGGAAGGTGAAGATGCCCTGGTGCTCCTTGAGGAGCTTGGCGATGGTGAGGCTGCCGCGCTTGATGCCTCCCAGCGGGTCGAAGAGCAGGTCGCGGTTGAGGGTGCCCTTCCGCTCCTCGGTCCACACGTCGATCTCCTCCTGATGGTAGGCGAAGGTGCAGTTATCCCCGTACTTACAGTCCTGCTTGTTAATCATGTCTGCAAAGAGGCAACAGGACACAGTTCCGCCAGGCGGGGACGGCAGCCTGCAGCACCCCCATGATCCCGCTGTGGCCAGGTGGGCCCAGCGCCACCAGGTGGGGTGCTGGTGCCTACTGCTCCCCGAGGATGCCAGGCCCAGGCCCTCTGCAGAACGCAGTCATCACTCCTGCCCAACCCCTTAGCACTCTCTTTAGCAGGCCAAGTGAGGCAGAAAGTACGAAAGGGGCTTTGTAGAGTTGTAAGAGCCTCTGCACCATCAGAGGGGCTTTAAGAAATTATTATTCACTAGGAAACGGGAATTTCAAGATCAAGAGCCTGGTCTTCCGACTCAGTCAGATTTGGGATTCCTTGTTAGCCCCTGAGCCTCAGCCATCTTTTCTGTGAGCAGAAAACATTGGGTTGTGGAGATGCATGGGATCCCCCATCCCTGGGTGCTAGCAGAGGCAGGTGCCCTCTGCTCGGGAGGGTCCCCAAGATCTGAGCAACAGAGTGTGCCATGGAGTTGGGGTGGGAGTATTTGGGGAATAGCTAGGGCAGAGGGTGAGGACGTAGATGTGGGTACCCGTAGGCCTGGTACAATTTGGATTTCATCCCCCCGGCCACAGGCAGGGCTACAGGGAGGACAGTAAAGTGATCCAGAAGTTGAATGGGACTGCCACAGGCCGGGATGGGGGACAAAGGTAAAGCCTGGGTGGCATTTCCAAGTCTCAGTTTCCTCATCCAGTTATAAGGATGTCTTGTGGTGAGTGGAGAGGGTGACACAGAAAGCACTTAATCGAATGCCGACTTGGGAACCACACAGAAGGGACAAATTGGAAAGAGAAGAAAGCAAATAAGGCACGTGATGAACATCCACTTGATACTAACCAAACTGCCATGAGCCAGCGCAAGGACAATGACACAATCATTAAACAGAACTGACATTTAGCCAGGCATGGTGGCACACCTATGGTCCCAGCACTCTGGGAGGCTGAGGCAGCAGGATTCCAAATTTAAGCCCAGCCTAGGCAACTTAGTGATTGTCTCAAAATAAAGAGTAAAAAGGGGTTGGGGGGAAGCTCAGTACAAAAGCCGAGTATAATCTCCAGTACTGGAAAAAAGATAATAAATAAATAAAAAGAACTGACATTGGGCCGGGGATTTAGCTCAGTGGTTTCTGCCACCTGCTGCGCAAGTGCAAGGACCTGAGCTCGATCCCCGGTACCAAAAAAAGCCAAACAAAAACAAACAAACAAAAACAACTGCCATTTATGAATCCTCCTAAGAGCCAGTCCTATGTGCTTTCTATAGATTCTCTCTGCATCCTCCAAACAGCCCTCTAGAAGAAATCAGCTCTCCATGACTGGGGGACCCTCACCCTACAGAGCACAGGCCACCCCCAAGGCTCTGACTCCACCCACAGCCTGAGTGGTACTCACTTGTCCCTGGGCCCAGGGGGACAGGAAATGCTCACTGGAATGTGGAACTCATTCTTGTGGCCTCGGGGTCCCCGAACCTCAGCTTCCAACCTCTCCTGCAGCTGCAACAGCCACGTCTGCTCCCGTGACCAGCAGGGCAGTGACTGGGATGAAGAGTGAGGGCCCCTGCCACAGCCCACCCACCTTTGCACAGGTAGTAGGAGCCCACGAAGCTGGTTTTGGTGGGCCGAGGCCGGATGCGCTTCCAGGTCTGGTCCTCAGCGCTGCGGAGCCGCCCAAGCAGGATGTCCCGCTTGCACTTGTGCTCCAGACCCTCTCGGTAGGTGTAGTCGCCCGCCCTGGGCCCTAGCATAGGGTAGACAGGGACAATGAGTCCAGGGAGAACCGAGGGGTAACAAGGATGAGGGTAGACTCCAGCCGAGGTGGGAACCAGAAAGCCCACCTGCCCTGCTGGGGCCTCCCACAGCTGCCGCCCCCTTCCCTGTCAGTGGTCTGGAGTGGGGCCTCCGAGGAGCCATCATGCCCACAGCCCTGACCATGACGGACCTGCCCATCCCCAGGTTTCTTGAGGAAGACCTGGGAGGTTGGTGCCCGGCAGAAGACAGGGCCCCGAGTGCCCAGCCTTCCTCTCCCACCCCGGAGGGGGGTGTTTTCAGGCATGTATCTCCTGCTGAGGCACTGGGCACTTTCATCCAGGGCTCCCACACTCGGAGATTCTCACCATCTTGGGGCCAGGGGGCGTGGGCGTGGCTGTGACGTTACCTGTCTTGGGGTAGCACAGCTGGCAGGCCTGCTTGAATTCATGGGTGGCAGCCAAGGGGTTCTTGATGAGCAAGGCAGTGTTGGGCATCGAGGGCTCCGGCTGTTAATGGAGGAGGTCGGGCCCTGAGTGGCATGTAGGAGCACTGAGGCAGGCCTGGGCCCTGAGGTGGGGGTGTTCTTTGACCTCCCCAAATCAGAACTGGTACCCAGACCCTCCCAGCCCTTGTGGTTCACAAGCCTGGAATATCAGCCTGGCCTCAAAAGCGCCTGGGCTGGCAGGGGAGTGTGGTGACAGTGAAGGAGTCCACCCCACCCCCACCCCGAGGAACAGAGGGCCAGAGCTGGGAGCCGGTGACTCACCGACAGGGCTGCCTTCTGAATGCTGCTTGCAGGCCGGTGCTCCTGTGGGTTGGTGTCCTCTGGACAGGGAGGAGACGCGGGGGTCACTCCCCTGCCACTGAGGGCATGAGGGCCTCCCAGGCCCCGGATCCTCTCCTACTCACTCTGACCCCTGGTCTACCACTCCTCTGCTCTTGGCCATGGCCTGAGCATGTCCACCCCGTGGCGCCAGGATGCAGCCCAGGCTTGGCTTGGCTCGTGGCTCCTTGGAGATTGTGCCCCACTGCTGCTTTCGGGGTCCCTTGGTGTGGTCCTTCACACTTCTACCTCCAGAGCCTGGGTCTCTGCTCCCTCTGCCAGCCGGTGACCTTGTCTCCTGAGACCTGCCCTAGCCACCACCTCCTCGTCCCCACCCTGCCCGGAGAGTCCTCTGCTGTGAGTGGGCCACACCTGACCCTGGGAAGCCAGTCCCACCAGGGCCCAGATGGGTCAGTTTCCTCTCGATCCCTGGCACTCCCTTCCCCCAGCCTCGGGGCTCTCTGGGTGGGAGCCCCCAGCCTAGGGGCCGGGGCCTTGGGGGCTGTGCAGAGAACACCAGACTAAGGCCCCTAGGGTCCGTTGCTACGAAAGCTCTGCCCTTTGGACGTGAACAGGGCCAACTGAGGCTGGGCTCCAGATGATGCAACCCCACCCTCCAGAGAGCAGAGGTGTGACAGGTCCTTCAAACTGCCAGGGGGGCGGAGAGGCCTCACCACCCAGGCCTTACCCATGAAGGAGTCCGGCTTGTCCAGTGAGCCCCTGGCAGACCCAAAGCTGTCAAGGGCATCCAGCCGAGTCTCCGAGTACGGCAGCAGGTCCAGGGGGTCCAGCATGGGGCCTGGGGGGTCGAGGGCATCCAGCACAGAGGCGGCCAGCTTCTTGGAGGGGTCCATGACAAGGCCAAAGGAGGCAGGGGGCAGCGGGCTGGAGACGGGGATGGAGCCACCCACCACGGGTGGCAGCAGCGGGGTCCCGCCGGGGAACACAGGAATCAGCTGGGGCAGCTCGCTGGGCACACCGCCACCAGGTAGGCCGCCCTGGACCAGAGACTGGGAGTGGGACAGAGGCAGGGTCAGGGGAGAGTGCGACTGCCTGCCCCAGCAGAATCAGACACTCTGGGAAGCAAACAACCTCTTGCTTTTTGTGGCTCTGCCTCAGCCTTCCATCCCTCCTGGGGTGGCTTGGTTTGTATGCTGGCCAGTCTCTCTCAAGGCCTCTGTTTCCCCAGCAGGGACACCGTTGTGAGACTAAGGGGCTTCTAGGGGACACAGCTCAGGGAGCTGGAGGGTGGCGTGTGGCTCACCAGTGAGTCCAGGAGGGTATCCAGCTCTGGTCCAAAGACGTCCCCATCTGAGAAGTCATCCATGCTTTCCGTGCTGGGGGCGGCCCTGCTGCTGGTGTCCAGGGGGGCCAGCAGGTCCAGGACATGAGGGAACAGGGGCATCAAGGTGGTGGAGGGGAGCAGGGCTGGGGATCCTCGAAGGTCCACATAGCAGTCTGTGGAGGAGGTGGGTTCAGGGGCTGCAGGGACACCGTGGAGCAGGGGTAGACAGGGAGTCCCAGGACCCAGGGCACTCAGCCAGCACCTTCTCTCCTCCCCAGCTCCACCAGGGACCCTGCCTCGCTGCTGCCTACCCCCAGAGGCAGGGAGTCAGTAGAGCCAGAGAGGCCTTTCAGTCCCAGAGTACGGCCTGATGGCCTAGGGTCCAGCTGGACAGCCACCATTGCCATCTTCCTCTGGGGTACACAATGGCCCTCCAAGGGTCACTGACAAGGTGTAACCTTTCCTGGAAGCCAATGAGGAAGAGGAGGAGGGTTTTGGAGGTGGTAGGTGCCCAAGGCATGGAGCCCTGGGAGAAATACTAGGGACCAATGGAGGGAGGCCTGCTGTCCTGACCGACCCAGCTCTCTGCAGGGCTGGTCCTCATTTCTGCCCTGTCCTCTTAACCACCTGTCTCTTAATTACCTGTTTCAATGTCATCTATGGACCCCAATCCATTGGAAGTTCCCTGTGGAGAGGAAGGACACATGGGTATTGGTCAGGCAGGGGACACCAGCTAAGACCAAGGGCCTGGAGCTCCCTGCCTGGTTCTGCTGTAACCAGGGACACAGGAGCCTCACAGGTACCTGCAATGGATGTGAAACACCCATCACATGTCAGCCCTGGGGTACTGCCTGGGGTTGGACAAGCACGGGCTAGGATGTGGGGGTGTGGGGTTGGGATACTCCTTGTAGGAGGAACACAAGCTTCAAGCCTCAGTTTCCTTACCTGTCAAAGGCTAGGCTCCATACCAAGGGGGATGGCAATGATGTTACAACCTCTCCCCATTGCGCCACAGATGGCTGTGGCTCAAGGATAAAAATGTCCACTCCCTGAATGAAGTACAGCCCCAACCCCCAAGAGGCCCACAGCCAATGTGCTCTTCTGTTTGAGGGAAAGCTGGACCTGCTGGTCCCTCACCCTCTGTGGGCCTGTTTCCTTACACAGCCACCACCTCCTGGGACTGTCACAGAGATGAAGTGACTGGATATTGTCAAAAGCTCAGAACAGGGCCTGGCACACAGGAAGTGCTTTGTAAGTGTTTATTAGATGCACAACAGACATTTTTTGTTTTTTAGACAAGATCTCACTATGTAGCCCAGCCTGGCCTCAAACTCGCGATGACCTTCTTGCTTCAGCCTCCCAAGTGGTAGGGTGACAGGCGTGTGCCACCATACCCAGCTAAATGCACAGGACATTTTAAAGTGTGACTTGCAGGCTGTTGTCTTAGGTTCCCCTCCCTAGCAGACTCCCCTTGCCTTGGCCCCATCTCTGGGGCATGTGTAGCAAGTCATTCCTGTATCCAGAATGTTCTCCCTTTCTCTGAGTCTCCCTGGTAAGGGCCTGGGTGCTGCCCACCTCCTGTGCTCCTGCAGAGAGCTGGACAAGGCCTGGCCCCTCGACATCCGTCACTCTTCCACAGGCGGCAGCAGGAGCAAGGAGAGCAAGCAGTGTCCCACTGCCCACCAGGCATGGCCACCACTTGACCCCCACTGCTGTGTCCACAAAGGTGTCACGTAGAGGAAGTGTAGGCCAGGCTGCCATTCACAAGGTACCCTTCCAGGACCATCCCGGAGGGCATCCATGGGGAATACAGCAAATACTGCCCCAGGGGTGGGTCTGCTCGGCACAGCAAAGCTGCATAGACTAAGGCAGCCTCATGGGTTGGGGTTCTATTCCCTCCATAAGTGCTAGACATAGGAAATGTGAGGCTCCAGATGAACACCTCGAGGGACAGTTTTGATTCTTCCTGCACCCTGGGCCCTGCCAGACAGTCGCCTCCCACCCTCATCACTGTGACTATCAGGCTCCTCTCCTGCTCTGCCAGACTCCTCAGCATTTGCTTAGCAATGAGGCTCATGGAGCCCAGGTTTCCAGCAGGTGCTGGCTGGGGCTCTCCAGACTCAACATATCCCACAACCACCACGTAAAGGTGAGGAAGTGGAGCCTAAGAAGAGTGGCCATTGAAGATGGGGGTCCCTTAGGGTCTGAACGCCAACATGTCCAGCTGTAGGACTTAGGCTCTCCTGCGCCCCCTGGGAAGGAACTGGCCTTGTGCCCTGGGGTGTCACTGCTTCCCTACTCAACCTCTGCCAGGCTGTGGCCTGGCTGTGAGTGCCAGTCCCGACTCTGCCTGTCTGAGATCTGCTCCACTGCTTCTGGGAAGCTCTCTCCAGCCATGCTGCCTCAGGCTCCTGTTCCCACAGGGGACAGCTTCTGTCTGTGCAGGACCCCTGCTTATCTCTTGTGCCCTAAGAACTCCCTGTAGGGACCTCCCAGGCCACCCTGCTTCTAGGGCACTTGTGGAGTGACAGATGGGCAGAACACATGGGAGGCTGCAGGACTCCCAGCAAACATGCACACTGTGTGCCACCTACAGGATGCAAGGGGCTGTGCCTGGACACCACCTAGGCCTCAAGCATCCCATGGTTACTGTGTGTGGCACTATGGCTGACCTGGTCCTTTCCACAGTTGAGTGGATATCACTTGGGCTTTTTACCAACCTCCATATCTGTGACCAGCCTTGACCTTTGTGGAGACGGTGGGGCCCCAGCAAGGTTGCATGGACAGGTGAAAGGCCTGGCTGGGGGTGGGGGGACCTCGTACTGGGCATGGTGCCATCTGTAGTCTGCTGGCTGGAAATGAGGTCACTGTACTGCCCGAGGTCACCCACACCCCAGAGTGTGAACCCAAAGCTCTCATGGTGGATGAACTGAGATAGGTTGGTATAGGGATATGGGGTTGGGGTCCCAGCTTCCATCCTACCTGATCTGCCATGCCAGCCGCAGTGCCATTGCTGAGGAGAGAAAAGGTTTCCAATTCCTGCCAGGGATTGGAGAGAGGAGGGAAGACATCAGGATTCTGGAAAACTGCTCACTGTCAAGGAAACAAGAGGCCCTGACATGGCTGCCAAGGTCTGAGTGGGTCCGAGGTTCCCTGTCCCCAGCCTGCTGCTGTCACCTGCCCTGTTGACCCAGGCCAGAATGTTTTCTTCCACCCTTGACCTGGGCAGGGGACTGTATGCAAACACTGCTGCTCTGTCAGGCACAGTGCTAGGGGCCATCTGGAAATTCTCTCCTTTCCTTCCTCTCATGAGGCATCTGAGACAGGCATGATTATCCCCATGTTTCGGATGCAGAACCTGAGGTGGAGCTCATTTGGCTTACTCAGGTCACAGCAGACCCTGGCTCCTGGAATCTACGTGGAGTGAAGGAGCAGAGGAGATACTGATCTTAAGAGACTCCGTGTGCGAGTTATTTGAGAACACAGGCTGAAGGACACCAGAGTCAACCTGGCCTCCTCCTGGGTGGTGCAGGCGGCCAGGTAGGGAGGGGTATGCTTAACAGCTGCTGTCTGAAGTGAACAGGAAGCCTTGGCCGTTCTTTCGTCTTCCACAAGGTCCCGGTCCTCATTCCAGGGCTTTCAGCCAACAGGGAGGGAATATCACCTGCTGTCACTTGCTCTGCTGTCCTCACCCAGCCTGGCCGCCTGGCCCAGTGCCGCCCAGCCCCTCCCTCATCCCTCATCCCTGCAGCTCCCCAGGCCCAGGGCCACCCACCTGGGGCCTCTTGTATGCCTTCCGAACTCGCAGCCCCAGCTTCTGCGCCAGCTCCTGGCCCAGCTGGGTGACACCTTCATCCTGGAGCAGGCAAGACACAGGGTGCGGGGCAGGTCAGGCCGCACAGCCCACATACCTGTGCTCCAGAGCCCTGTGCAGCCCTGCAAGGGGCCCCTGGCCACCCGTGTGACAGGCACAGAAGTGAGGCCCAGGAGTGACACTGCTTTCCAAGTCACAGCTGGGGAGCCATGGGACTGGACCCACAACCCCATGCTTTCAATTTTTTCTTTTATTTTGAGGAGGACAAAGGAATAATTTTGTTTCTTCTTTCCTTTATTCTATTTTTTTATTTGTCTTTGAGATGGACTCTTAATGTGTCATCCAGGTTGCTCTAGAAGCCCTGGACTCAAGAAATACCCCTGCCTCAGCTTCTTGAGTGTCTGGGACAACAGGCGTGCACTATGGTTCCTGGCTGTGGTATTTATTTAGTAGTACTAGGGATTAAGCCCAAGACATTCTCACTGAATTATATATCCCTGGCACGCATGCATTCATTCATTCATTTTGAGACAGGGTCTTAAGTTTCTCAGGTGAGGCTCAAACTTGGTGATCCTCCTGCCTCAGCCTCCAGAGTATTGGGATTACAGACGTGCGCTTTCTCTCTCTCCTTCTGTCTTGGAGTGCTGGGGATGGAACCCAGGGCCCCACCTACGCTAGGCAAGTGGTCTATCACTGAGCTGCACCCTAGTCCTTATCTTTTTGGGGGGGGAGGGTACTGGGACTCGAACTCAGGACCTCACACTTCCCAGGCAGGTACAGCACTGCTGAGCTATATTCCCGGTCCCTCCAGCCCTTATCTTTGATTTCTAATGTGCATCAGATACCAGTTCACTGCCAAAGGCTGGACTGCTCCCAACAAGGGCAAGTGCCTCCTCACAGCCCTTGCCTCAGCTCCAGCTCTGCTCCTTGCTTGTTTTGTCGCTGTGTTTTCCCTGAGAATCTTTTCTAGGGATTCAGGCACCCAGACCTATAAAGAATGGTTAGCATTGTTTTATGGGGCTTTTCTTTCTTTCTTAAACTCACTATGTAGCCAGGCTGGCCTAGAATTGGCAGCGATTGCTGCCTCAGCTCCTGAGTGTTGGGATTACATGCGTGCACCACCACACCCAGCTATGTATTTTCTTTTTCTTTTTTTTTCTGGTACCAGGGATCGAACTCAGGTTCTTGTGCTTGCGAGGCAGGCGACAGAACCATTGAGCTAAATCCCCGGCCCCTGTATTTTCATTTTAAAACAGGATCTTGCTAAGTCCATAGGTTGCCCAGGCTGGGCTCCAACATATGATACTCCTGCCTCAGCCTCCCAGAGTTCTGGATTTACAGTGATGTGCTACCATGTCCAGCAAGAAACATTAATTGTGAACTAAACAGAACCAGAGAAGCAGGAAATAAGTGACTTCTAATGTGTTGAACAGTGTGTCTGGCCACTGTGCTGACTGCCTTGTACAGTCTGTACCCTTCCCTCAACTCCTTCACAGCCATTACTTCAGGGATAAAATAGGAAGGGCATCTTATAGACGTGGAGCTCATCTACAGACAGGAAGTGCTTTGTCTAAGGTCACAATGAGGGTCAGTTTAGCCAGGCCTAGACCCGAGGGCTGTTTGAATTTGTCACCACTGGGATATGGGGCCCTGGCAGGCACACATCTGTGCTGATGCAGGCTCTTGGTAAAGACTTAAGTGGATATGCTGCGGAAGCGCAAAGATCTGAGTTCGATCCCCGGTACCAAAAAAAAGGACTTAAGTGGATAAATGGGGACAGGACAGGTGTGCAGCTTTGAGGGGTCGAACCCCTGCTCAGGCTCTCTTGTCATTTGCCATTGTTGTTTTCCCACTGGTGAAAACCCCAATACCAGGACCCTAGCACATATGGCACTGCTTTAATCCTCACAGCAACCCTGTACTCAGAGTCCAGAGGTCAAGGGCATAGACCTGAGAATCTTGAGGTTCAAATTCTGCCTCCCACTGGCTGTTGTGATCTTGGGTAATTCCTTTCTCTCCACTCCTCTCTGTCTGTTCTTTATTTTAAAGTACTGGAGACTGAGTTCTCATCCCCAGATCTCCCCTCCGCCCCATTTTTTTTTTATGTTGAGACAGAGTCTTGCTAAGTTCCTAAGCTGTCCAAGCTGGACCTGAACTCATGATTCTCCTCCCTCAGCCTCTCAGACTGCTTGGATTACAGACATGGGACACTGTGCCTGGATCCTTTGCCTTTAAAACAGGTAAAGGTACAATAAGAGATCTACCTCCTGGGGCTGTGGCAAGGAGTGGGTGAGTTAATACCCAGAAGGGGAGTTTAGCAGAGCCCGGTACAGTCAGCGCTCAGAGCACAGTGCTATCTCCACACCAGTATCTGTGACTTCACGTTGCAGAGAAGCCTGAGCCTCCAAGAGAGGTGCTGGTTTGGACTCACGTGGGGGAGTGCGAGGGAGCACCGGCTGCTGCACTCGTAGGCCTCCTTGTGGCGCCCCAGCTCGTTGAGGGCGCGCGCCTTGCGGAAGAGGGCACGGATGCTCTCGCTGTCCAGGCCCAGCGCCTTCTCGCTGTCCTCCAGCGCCTTCTCGTACAGGCCCTGGGGGAAGGAGCTGCCGCTGTCAGCGAGGGACCCTCACTCCCCTCAGGCTCCTGTGCTGCCTGTGGCTGGGCGGCAGCCTCCTTTCCCGGCAGAGCAGAGCAGATGCAGTGCTGGGGTTGGGCTTGGGACAAGGGAGTGTAGGGGAGGAGGGATGGGAGGGAAGATGAGGTGGTCAGACTCCCACCAATGCCCAGGGTCACCCCAAGATTCTAAATCAGTTCTTCTGGGGCAGGGAAAGGGCATCATATTGTTTTAAAATGATTTTTATTATGCATCTGCATCTGTTGTGGGTTTTTTTGGTTTGTTTGGGTTTTTTTTGAGGTGGTGTCTCACTCTGTTACCCAGGCTGGCCTCCATTTTCTGGGCTGAAGTGATCTTCCTGCCTCAGCCTCCAAAGTGGCTGGCACTACAGATGTGAGCTACCATCCCAGCCCATCTGTGCTTTTAAAGCTCTCCTGGAGAGTCTGTGATGCAGCTAGGATTGAATGGTGGGGTTTGGACAGGAAGTGGAAGAGGGGGTACCCAAGGCATAAGGAGAGCAGGGTGGGAAAGGGGTGTCAGGCTCACCATGGTGAAGTAGCAGGCAGCCCGGTTGACATGCAGCTTGCACAGCAGCTCTCCAGGCAGGGCCACCTGGTCAGAGGCGGCATAGTCGGCCACGTTCAGCCCCTCCATGTACTGCACAAGGGCCTGCTTGTAGTCCTTCTCCCGGAACAGGTCATTGCCCTCAGCGAACAGATTCTGCACCAGCTTGAACAGGAAGGCCTGTGCGGAGTGGGGGCATGAACTCAGGACTGCTCTCTGCTGCCCCAGGACCCACGACCCTCTTTCCTGACACCCGCCCGTCCCTGTCCCACCATCCAGCCTGGCAGCTGACACTCACCTCATACTCCTCTTGCTTTAGGGGGAGGGTTGACCTGGCAAGGAGAGAGGGACACAGGGCTGGGTGAGCACACAGCTGGCAGCCTAGGGAGGCCCCGGATGGAGCTGAAGGCCTATGGTCATGGCAGGCGCAGGCTCCATCTCAGCCCTTGGTGCCTTGTCGACAAGGGGGAGGGGACAGCATGCAGGCCGGCCATTCCCATCAGGGACCTGCATTTCCCCTGGGCTCCCCTGGGTAGTCAGAGGGCTGTAGGCACCATCCCCAACCCCTAGGAAGCCAGCCATCTTCAGACAGCAGACACTCCACACCTCTTGGGGAAGTGGGAAGCCAAGGCTGGGCCTGGGGCCTCCTGGCCCTAGAAAAGGCAGAAAGATGGGAGGGTGTAGGGGCTCCTGGAGCAGGAGTGGGGGACAGAAGCAGTAGAAAGGTACATGCCTATAATTCAGCTTATTCAGGAGGCTGAGGCAGGAGGACTGTAAGCTCAAACTCAGCCTGGGCAAATTAGTGACTTGGTGAGAAATTAAAAAGGGCTGAGGATGTAGCTCAGCACAAAGGCCATGGGTTCAATCCCCTATACTGAGAGAAAAAAATAAAAAAGGACAGAAGAATATGGAGTACCCAGCACAGAACCTGAAAGATAGCACTTAGCTCACAAGTGGAAGCTATCAATTTATTAGAAGATCCCTGGATGCCTGCAGGCATGCAAGAGAAGGAACAGGAAGTATTGGTGCGGAGGTGCTGGGTACTCAAGGCTGACAGAATGCACAAGACCCACGGGCTCCCAGGGTGGGGTGCAGGCCTGTGGAACTCATGCTTCTGCCTTGCCAGCCCTTCCCCACTCAAACCCCTCTGCTCCCAATGCCCACAGGAGTGCGATCAGCAGTGGCTCAGCCAGCAGGAAAAGGGAGAACCTGAGAGTGTGGCTTAGGGGACTCCTGGCCCACCCCGCCCAGCCACCGCTGCTTACTGAATGAACTGCAGCCCCTTCTCGATGTCCGCCTTCCGTTTCTGCCTCTCCATCAGTCTCTGGGGGGAGAGTGCCACCCATCAGTGGCCAGCAGGGCCTGCTCGCTGCCGCCCGCCTCACCCCACTCCACCCCACCCCACATGCTCCTCCGGCTCCACAGGGGCACAGGGTTTTTGGGGTCTACAGGACTATCAGAATCAGACAATGCCACCACCTTCCAGGCCCTTGTCCCATGCAACTCAGTTCCTGTGGTGCCCTCAGTGGGCAAAGGGCACCCGTCCTTTTCTGCACATGGCTTGGGATCAGTACTGCCTGGGACACCCTCAAATTCATGGGAAAGACCTTGTGTCACCATCCAGCTCCACAGTATGGAGGACACGGGAAATGCAAACTGATGGCTGATGACTGAAGTTGCAAGGGTGTACTCGGTGCTGGCCCCGTGGTCCCAGGACAAGCTAACTCTCCCAGCAGTGATAGTGTCAGTCACTTCACTGTCACATCCCATGGGGACACTGGAGCTCAGGGAGCCCTATCATGAGCGGGCAGGCAGCCAAGGCCACATTTGAACCGGGGTCACACTTCCTTTCATATCTACCAGCAGCACCTCCATGCACGCTGGTGATGGCTGCCCAGGGAGGAGGGCCAGGCAGCAGCCAGGCAGTGTACCCATCTCACCTTGGCAATGCCAGGGCATGATGTTCAGGACAGGCCTGGCTTCAGGACCTAGTGCTCATCCTGCTTCCCTCGACCCTCCAGCGCACCCATGGCTGCCCATTCCTCAACATATGGTCACACTACACACACACTGGGCACAGTGACTGTGACACAGGCACCACCCCGGGGAGCTCCCTGCAGGCACTGACACAAACCCACTCCAGTCTGCTGGCCCTCGAGGTGAGTAGGTAGAGGGCTGGGTCTGATCCCAGGGTTTACAATCACTCTGACTTTGGACCTAACTGTTCCGAGGGGGAGGTGGGGAAACAGCAGCTCCTGCCACATAGGCTGCCACCAGGGCTGGGAGGTGACAGGTGCACAACACCTGTTGCAGATCAGTAACAGGTCAATGATCATGGGAAAAGTGTGGGGCAGGGCCAGCACCACTCCTCCCTCTCGCTAAGACACACCGCAGGTGATTCTCAGGTTAGACACTGGCTGTGACCCTGTCTTGATGCAGGAGGCTGGCAACTGGTTGCTCAGCTGGTTTCTCTGTCCTCAGCTTCCCCAGTGGCGAAACAAAGCTCTCAGGCCCCAGCCACAGCAAGGCCTGTGGGCTTCTCTCCTTTCTGAACTGCCAAAGAAATCTCCTCCCTGCACAGCCTTCGCCCCTTTGAGTGGCCCCATCACCCCTCGTTCATCTGATGTACCCAGAGCCTGAGGAGTCACAGAGCGGGGATGGGGGTGGGTATTGTCAGAGTCTGTCCCTTCCCTGGACAGTGCTAATCTAGCAGAGAAGACAAGGGTGCACCACCCGGTCTGGCCCAATACCCTCAGGGGAGGCTGCAGGAGGCCTGACAACAGGTACCATGGGACATGGCCATGACAGACACTGCTGAATCCTGCTAGGTCGACCTGAGTCACAACCCAGCCTCTGTCTCTGCCAGTCCCTAGACAACTAGGCCACCTCCTCCCTGCCCCTCAGACTTGATCTTAAAATAAAATTTTAAAAAGGGCCAGGGATGTAGGTCGGGGTAGAGTATGCACCTAGCATGTGCAAGGCCATGGGTTCTATTCCTAGTCCTGGAAAAAGTGTTTTTCCTGTGATAAAGACATGGATTTCGAGGACTAGTGGTGGCACATTGTAGACTGACTGTGTCCTCTCCAGAAACGTGCTAAAGCTCTGATCCCTAAGGTAACTCTACCTGGAGATAGGATGCACACAGAGGTCAAGGGTAAATGAGCTCAGCAGAGCTGGGCCCTGATCCAACAGGATCAGGGTTGTTTTAGAGACAGCACCATCTTGCTCTTGCCCCGACTTTCCTCCCATGGATGCATAAGGAAAGGCCATGTGAGGATACAGCGAGGTCTGTCAGCCAGGAAGAGAGCCCTTGCCAGAAACCAAACCAGCCACATCTTTCTTTTTTCTTTTTTTGTGGTATCAGGAATTGAACCCAGGGGCTTGCACATGCCAGGCAAGTGCTCTAGTGCTGAGCTACATCCTCCCTCTCCACAGTCCCGTTAAACTGCCCAGGCTGTCCTCAAATTTGTGACCCTCCTGCCTCAGCCTCACAAGTAGTTGGGATTATAGGCATGGTTCACCTTGCCCAGCTTCAACCAGTACGTCGATCGAGGACTTCTAGCCTCCAAAATTCAAGAAAATAAATGTCTGTTGTTTAATACAGCCAGCTTGAACCACTGGTGGTACATGCATAGCTATCCTGACAGTGAGACATACAAATTACAGCCCTGTCGTGAACATGGTAAATCATGAGTCTATGTCATTTTATTATGGCAGCCTGAGTTGCGAGAGTGGCTAAAAGGTCAGTTGTTCTCAGCTGAAGAGAGAAATGGGTCCTTTGAAGGTGAGCATCAGGCACAACTTGGAGGGGGCACCTAAAGGAAAAACAAAAAGCATGTGGGACATGAAAACTTCCAGGATCAGGATCAGACCCATGAAGCAGTAGTGAATGTTTCTAATCCCAGCACTCTGGGAGGCTGAGGCAGGAGAGTACCAAGTCTGAGCTCAGCCTAAACAAGTCAGAGACTTAGCAAGACCCTGTCTCAAAAATACATATATAAAAAGAGCTGAGGATGTAGCTCAGTGGGAAGCCTCTGGGTTCAATCCCCAGTATCAGAGAAAAGAAAAAAGGGAGAAAGGGAGGAAGACAGAGAGGGAGGGGAGGAGGAAGGAAAGAACAAACAAACAAATAAATGAAAAAGGCCCAGATCTGCCCAGGTCTGGCTGTCAGGCAGAACAGTCCCCAAATCCCCAACTCCAGGTTCCTATAATTTAGGAATTTCATACTGGACCTGCCTCAAGTGGGCTGTTCCCCAAAATACAGCTGTGAACTAAGGACCCAACAGGAAATGATTCTCTCAGTACATCAGCACAGTGTGTGGCTACTTGCCCAGGTGCACACCTGGCCCAATCCAATCCACTCAGTTTCTTAGTACCTCACTTCCCTCATCTTGAAAGCAAAGATAATATCTACTTTATAGGGTGCCTGTGAGAGTTAAATGAGCCATCTGGCACATGTTAAGCATTTAATTAATATTTATTATTCTATAATCACTATTATTACTTAAAGAGATGGGAGGGGACAAAGATGGAGAGAGGGGCAGGAAGGGGAGGGGAAGGGGATATAAAAATAATTAGGATGTGTTATGTCCATGTACCAACCCCCCCATGCTGAATGTAATCATTATATACTTTAAACATGTACCAATAAAACCTGAGATTTGAAAAAGAGATGGGCAAAGAACATGAACGGGAAACTCACAGGAAATATAAATCATTAATAAAAAACACAAACTCACTGATAAAAGAGCCACATATTAAAACCAGGCGCCACTTGACACTCAAGAGACGAAAGAAAGCCTGGTTGATGAGGGTAGAGAAACAGGTATTCCCAAAGCCTGCAGTCATTGAGAGTGAGAATTGGAATCATCTTTATGATGCCGCTTAACAGCCTCTGCAGAAATGAGCAAGTCAGGCACTCCGGCTCCCAACAGAAACCATTGTCTTCTCTCCTGGTACAGCCTCAGTCTTGCTCCTTTCCCAGGCACTGGGCTAAGCCAATCAATCCTTTTCCCTTGGCAGTGATTGGCTTAGGCAAGGGTATGTGACATCATCCTGGCCAATAAGAAAGGAGGAAAAGGCAGACAATAGGCTTCTGGGAAAGAAAAGGTCCCCTTTTCCTCCCATACTTTGTATGTCCTAAGTATAATAAGCTATATCCACCAGGGATGGCAGAACGGGAAAAAAAAAAATACCTAAAGGTATTTAATGGCCAATCCAACTCTAAAAATTAAATCCCTGTTTCTCTAGAACTGGGCAACTTCCTTTTTTTGGCCTAACAAAATCCTACTTTGAGGTAGGAATTCTGTTACTTGCAGCCTCAAAGCTTTCCAAATGATGTCTGTTTTCTTTGACCTGGAAATTTCACTTCTGAGAATTTAACTTACCCAAATCCTTGTAGAAGTACTGAATTACATTTGCACAGGGGCGTGTTATTTTTCAGAATGAAGGAAAAACTAGAAGCAGTCTTAACTTTCACCGGTAGAGGATCAACTTAATTAAATTGTAGCATTCTCATACCACAGAATATAATTCGACTATTCAATCAACTTGTAGTTTTGGAGACGCTTCCATGCATGGTTGAGAAATTTATAAAGCAGCTTTCAGAACACTTGTGTTGTAGGATCATATCTATTTGTGATGTGTGTTTATATGTAAGGAAGGAATATGAAAGAATATTCTTGGGCCTGGGATTTAGCTCAGTGGTTCCAGTGCCTGCCTCACAAGCACAAGATCCCAAGTTCCATCCCTGGTACCACCGCTAAAAAATATTCTCCAATTTATCTGCTTCCCTGTGGGGACTGAGAGCTGTTGAAGAGAAACAAGGCACAGAATCCTTCCTTTCCGCTCTCCTCAGCATGGTTTGGATTTTTTGCACACAGCAAGTATTATTCTTATAATTGGAAATACAAGATAAGATGATTGACTTAAGGCCAGCCCAACAGGACAGGGACCGAGTGGGAACCAGTAGCCTGAGTGCTTGTCTTTAAACCCAGTTCTGTGGGTCTGCCAAAATGTCAATGAACTGTTTTTCCTGAGAGAACCTTCCACTGACCTGGGGATGAGAAAGCAAACACATTTTGTTTTCTTTTCTGGGAAAAGGTTTGAAAATGACAGCCTGTAATGCCAGTACTTGGGAGGCTGAGGCAGGAGTCGCTGCGAGTTTGAGGCCAGTCTGGGCGACATAGTGAGTTTAAGGCCAGCCATCTAAGGGCCATGGATTTAGCTCAGTGGTTCTGCCACCTGCCTCGAAAGCACAAGGACAGGAGTTTGATCCCGGGTACAAAACAAAACAAAAAGACAAAATTGCCAGGCATGGTGGCT